GGTGTTGGGGTGCGGCGGGGGGCGCGGGAACCGGGCAGGGCTTGTGAGGCCTCTCCGTGGGGGCCTCCCCATGAAGGTCCACCCATGGGGCCTGTGGGGATCTGCCCCTGGAAGTCGGTCTGAGGGGGTCTGCCCGTGAGGGACTCTCCATGGGGCCGGTCCTTTGCCCCTCTGGGCCGGGGTGGGTGGTGGACCCTCCTAGAAGGAGGGAGGAGAAGCCAGCGGGACCCCCCCCCCGCCCCTCTCCCTCCTCGCTGTTGACAGGGTGGTCTCTCCGTCCAGCTCTGCAGGACAATCTGGACAAGAAGCTGTTTGGGCAACACCTGGTGAACAAGGTGGTTGTAAAGGCCGTGAAGGGCTTCTTGAACAACAGCAATGCCAAAAAACCTCTCGCACTTTCCTTGCATGGGTGGACTGGAACAGGCAAGAACTTTGTCAGTAAGATAATCGCTGAAAGCATTTATAAGAGAGGTCTGCAGAGTAAATATGTCCATCAGTTCGTGGCGACTTTACACTTCCCTCACGCTCAGAGCATCAATCTCTACAAGGTAAGAGTGTGCTGGAGCACAGCTCTGCTGCAGTGGCTGTTGTATTGATTTATAAATGTTATGGCACGATCAATACCAGAAACCTAGATGTTGTTTTCTGCAGTAAAATTAGCCTGTGCCAGTTTGGGAATCTTCTGTACAGAACCGGGTAAATCCTAACATCTATCAGGACTGGTTTTCCAATGAATGTAAAGGGTTTTTTGCATGTGTTTTGAGCTTCTCTTTAGGGAAAAAATGATACAGTTATTTTTGGTTTACACTTTGCTTAGACTTAAGGTTTGAGCTTCTCTTTAGGGAAAAAATGATACGGTTATTTTTTGGTTTACATTTTGCTTAGACTTAAGAATAAGCGTGACTGAGCAGGATTTGTGGTTGGGTGATACCCTGGTGCGCACTGCGGAAAACTAAGAGTTCATGGCTGTGGGGAATCACTGGGTAACCTCCACGGATGCCAGGTCCCATGGCAAGCTGATGGGTGCTCTCTGAGGCAGGGGTGGTTGACTGCAAACTGAGGAGGTTCTGTAGTTTTATTCTGCAGCCATTTCCCAGCTGTAAAACGAAATCACAAAATCTCTGTTGTCAGAAAGGTACAAATAAGTGTATTTGGAATTGTTGTGCCGGTTTGTGTCAGCACAGGGCTGGAGGCAGGTGGATATCACGTGGAGCAATAGTTCAGATGCATGTTTTCTGGGTTTTTTTTGTTCTAACTTACTTTGTTAACAGCAGAGTTTGAGGTACAGTGAGTACCACTGACTTTTGCAGTACTGAATGTTTATATTCCATTTGTATATCTTAAAACTGGGAATGGGATGGTTTACAAACCTGATCTCTAAATGGAGGAAATATCTGTTTCCTCTTTTACAGCTTGCTTTCCCCTTTCTTGTGACTGAGCTGTTTTAAAATAAACCCGATCCTTTTCTGCTTTCGTTTCGAGGTGATTGCACTTGGGAAACAGAAGGAACTATCGCTTCTTGCCCACATGTGCCACCATCCTGCGCTGCCTCTGCAGTTCAGGGACTGAGTAAACAGTGAATATAAAAAAAAAAAAAGATGAATCATTGAAAATGGTTAGAACCATTATTTCTCATTCATGTACCAGCAGATCAACCCATTTTTTTCCAATTACTTCACTATTGATCTTCAATGTAACACTTAAGTGAGAGAATCTTTAAATACAATAACCATTAGGCCTTCTGAACGATACTGCTCAGGGCTTGTAATTGTCTTCCTTTAACTTCTGAGCGATTAAAACACAGGGCTGAGAGCTGAATTCTGTTTCAACTTTTGCCACTGGCTGCAGGTGGCAATTTCTCACTGGTGCTGTTCAGGGAGCAAATTTAATAGTGTTCATAGTTTTGACGCCTAAGGATGCTTAGACCAACGTGCTGCCAAAAGTAACCATCTTGCTTGTCAGGGCTTTGCTTTGTGTCGCTGTTCCGTGGTGGTACCTGTCCTTTTTCCTACTGTGCGCTTTCATTTTTGCTTTGTTTACAGGAATATCTTTCTCAGACAGAGATTTCCTGCTTTTATCCTATCCTGTCTCTTGGTATCTTGAATTTTTTTCAGAACCAGCATGAGATTCTGTTTGTTTTATTTACAGCTTTTAACTGTGTGTTAAAATGACACAATTGAAATTACTCTTTCAGGACAAAAACAAGCAGAAGTGCTGTTTTCTGTCTTTTCAACACAAACTCTTTCAATATCTTTTAATTTCATGCCTCTCAGGACCAGTTGCAGTCATGGATTCGGGGAAATGTGAGCATCTGTCCCAGATCCCTCTTCATATTTGACGAAATGGATAAAATGCACGCAGGACTCATTGACTCCATCAAGCCATTCCTGGACTACTATGAGCTTCTGGACGGGGTGTCGTACCGAAAAGCCATCTTCATATTCCTCAGGTAAGAAGTGGCATCTCAGGCTTGCTCTTCTGTAACCCACAATGCCTTTTAAAACTACCTCAAGCTACAGTCTTTGTTTTCTCTTAACTTAGCAATGCAGGAGCTGAAAAGATAACAGAGGTGGCACTAGATTTCTGGAGAAATGGAAAGACAAGGGAAAATATACAGCTCGCAGATGTGGAAAATGCGCTGTCTGTGTCCGTCTTCAATAACAAAAATAGTGAGTAAAACTGTGATTGCTTTTGAGGTGGTAAAAGTTCCACAAAAGGGACGGGCTGCATTTAGCTGCATTTTTACAACTATGGTTTCTACTTGATGTGCCCTCCAGCTTTTGGCTGGCAAGGAGCCATGGTGCAGTTCTGGAGCCTGCAGATGCTTTTGAGCTGAAATGAAGGTTAAGGAGCTCTGTGTACGCCATGGTTACCAGCATGTTTGATGTCTGTTGGATCCCATATGTTGGGAGAAGCCTCTGCTGTCCACTTAACTGACATACTAATGGGCTAAAGAGAAAGCAAACAGAAATCTAGACAGTAAGGCTAGATATTGCATTAGCTGAAAAATCCTTAACCAATAAAATGTTTTGTTGTGGGGAAACCACTTCCTTGGCCCTCAATCCACTTAGCCTTTCTTGCTCAGTCTGTAAAAAGCCTTCAGGCAGTTATTTAGGAGCTATTTATGGGAAACAGGGTGACGTGCCAGCCCTGCTGTGAGTAGTCCAGTGTTTCCTAGGCTTTCTTGCACAGGACTTCTGGTGAAAAGGGTTTTTAATAGAATTATGGTCTAAAAATAGCATTGGAAGCAAACTTACGGCATTTTTTTTTTATGAGGTTAGATGCAATCTCCAAAAGATGGAGCAAGACAAGCTGGGAGAGCTCATAGGAGATAGGAAATCTGTTCCTTGCTCAGTGAGAGAGGGGAAGGTATGAGACTGGCACCTGGGGAGCGAGGCTGAAATGCATTCAGAATTCATTCATTCAGCTCCAATGGACCACATTTGTGTGTCTGTCCAAAACTTTATGCACAAAGTACTATGAGAAAGGGCTTATATTTGAGCTTACCTGTGCATCATAGGGCCTTAAAAACACAGGTGAATTCTTACTGGTATGTAGCAGAGCACTATCATGTGCCTACTGCTGCCGTTCAACCCATGGTAGTGTTTAACTAGAGTAGAAACAAAACAACTTCTCTCTCCCTTTGTAGGTGGATTTTGGCACAGCCCCTTGATCGATAAAAATCTCATTGACTACTTTGTTCCCTTCCTGCCTCTGGAATACAAACATGTGAAAATGTGTGTCAGGGTGGAGATTGAATCACGTGGCTACGTTGTGGATGAAGAGATTTTAACCAGAATAGCCGACGAAATGACCTACTTCCCCAGAGAGGAGAGAATTTATTCAGATAAAGGATGTAAAACTGTGGATTCAAAGCTGGATTATTACTATGACTTCTAATGCTTTATTGCTACAAACTGCAAAGAAGCAAAGTTAACTTCATTACAAAGTGGAGAACCCGGAACATTTCATTTTTAAGCACTTTTTAAAGAAAGGAACGTTATTTTTTAACTGGTGTGTAAATAAGCAGCAGTGCCTCTGTGGTTTTATCCTGTCACTAGTGATGGCTCCCAGGTACTTCGGCCTTGTTGCCAAGGTAAGAAAGGACCGCGTTGTGAATGCGGCACCGAAGATTCCTCTTGGATCACGTGTTGATCACCAGAACCATTTGGCAGCCTGTTGGCACATATAGAAGGACTGAGATTATCACCAAATTTTAATTGGGTTTTGGTTTGATGTAGATGATCTCTAGCGAATAATGAGAATTTTAATCAAAGTTCCTATTTCTGTGAAAGACTTCATTTGGCTTGTGTAGGAATATCCCTGTAACTGCATTAAAAGTAGGATACGTGTCTCTTCTCCTTGAGCAGCTTGGTTCCAGTAAAGATGACGGGGGAATTCCATAATTATAAAAATCCAGAGTCTTCTATCCAACATCATGCAGTACCCTTGTCTTTTCTCAAAACAGTGGTATAGATTGGCCTTCTGCATGTCAAACCAAAAATGTGAGACTTTTTGGTGTGAATAGTGTTCAGAGGGCGGTCTTAATATTTCAAGGAAGTGAGTTAAAATCCTTGACTTCCACATCAGTGTAGTTGGTTCTTATTTTGTTTTTTTTTTTATAATGTATATAGTTGCCCACAGCAGGCTTTCCCAGGAGTGATCTCAGGAGGGTGAAAAGTGTGCTTTCTGCTTGGTGAGTCAGCTTTATGGACAGAGTGTAACTTAATGTGAAACATGTACAGGTTAAATTTTACACCAAGGAACCAGAAAAGAGGTTTTTCCTCTTCACCTACATGTAGAGTTCAGGGGCCAACTTCCAGAGTTTTCCCTTTTTCCTGTTCTCACAATACTGTATGACTTTGAAGCAGGGATGAAGACAGAGCCAAAGGCATTTGGAAAAAAAAAAAAGTGAAATGTGTCAACTGAAGTTACTGCGAAGAGTGTCTGACTTGTTTCTAAGTGTGAGCACTGCAGAGGCTTTTTTTCACTCCAGTTTCTATTCAAAATAAACTTTTCTCATCAGAAATGTATTTCTTAGTTACCTCCTGGTGTTCTTTGCATTGAGTGATTTTATGTTAATTTTGCGCAAACTAAATACTCGTTGCAGAAGAGCATACTGTGTTTCTGGCTGAAGTGTTCGGGTGTGCTTGAATACAGGTATCTCCCTTCATGAGTTCAAAGGGAATAGATGCAGGAGAAGAGATGTGACTCTGCTACCTGCTGAAAGGGAAACAAATGAAGTTTGGAGTGGAAACTGCACTTCTGGACCATCAGTACTAATTACACTCGCACAGTTTTTGTAGAGGTGGATTTTCTAGCTGTGTATGAGCTCAACAGTATCACAAGGATGAGCTTGTCTTCTAGAGACCAGTTAAAACCCTGCTTCTCGTCTCCTCCTCCCGCTGTGGTACCACTGATGAACACCCTGCAGGCTCTGATTGAAGCCATCCATGTTTTCAGGGGCAGCATCTTGGGAGTTTTCTCTGCAAGGGGGGAAAAAAAGGGGGGTCAGTAAAACTTCAGCTGTCCAGTTCTGCTCTGAAGTTGTGTAATAGGCAAATTATCAGTCCTAGTGTTTGTTAGGAAATGAATGCTTTGAACTTGGATATTTATCTGTTTCTTTGACCTGATTATAGCAAATGACTGGCTAATGGAAAAAAGCAGATGTGAGAATGATAAACTTTTACTACTGTCTGGTACTTTCTCATCAAAAGAGAACAGTTCAACCAAGCAGTATTGTAGCTTTTCCAGCATTAACTACACTCTTAATTCTGCTTTATGTGCCATTGCAACATTAATACTGGCATTTGGCATACATTGGGAGCAAGTATTTAATTGTATCATAGGCCTAGATGATTTAGAGTGGGTGGAAGCTTCCTCTAGAGGGTGTAGAAATTACATTGAAAGGGTTGAGACTGTCTCTGTTTTAATCTCTCTTCTGTCCTTGAAAACAGCAGACCTGGCTAGGAGCATCTGGGTAAAAGAACGTGTGCCTGAAATCACTTCTAACCTTGATCCCGTTGTTTTTCCTCCCTTTAGACTGCGTGGTTTCAAAGCTGAGATCTTTGCTCATTCTTGCTGTGACTGGGTAACTTTGGCCATTATTCTTTTTAATAGGCCACTTGAAACTGGATCAGACAACTTAAGAGAAAATGTCAGATGGGAGGAAAGGTCTGATCCCTGGAGAGACAGCCCCTGGGCCGGGTGAGAGAAGCCGAACAGTTGCTGAGACTGAATTTTGTTTGTTCTTACCAAAGTCCAGCACAAGCAACTGCTACTTTAATTTCAGCCTTTTTCTGCAGGGAACATTCCGAGATCTCATGCTGTGCTCATAAAATTAGAGACTACGGTTAAAATACAGCAACGTATTAAGCGCTGCTTTTGCTAGAAAGAGGCGGCCTGGCCTTAGAGATTCATCTCTGATGCCCTGGGCCAAAGAGCCAAGCTGTGGTGTGTGCTGAGCTGTGCAGGCACGGGGCAAAGTCCTGATGAACAAGAGAGCTCTCACTTCCCATGTGTGCTCCCTAATGAGTTTCCTTGTGCATCGTTACAGCACAACAGCGGGAACAACTGACTGTTGAGCGAGGTGCGCGCTGCTGCCAACAGCCAGACCTCGCTTCAATTAGGCTGTTATTTACATACTGGCTTTTTTTTTTTCAGTGCTGGAGAGGCTGCAGATGCTCCGGCCCATGGAGATATGATGAAAGCCTGTAGTCCTGTGGTGCCTTTGCCAGCTAGAGGAGAGGTGAAGAGCCGCCTTGAGTGACAGCTTTCCAGAGGCAGCACAGAGAGGAGGAATGGTTAAACAAGCTCCCTGAGAATTACTTTTCCTGCAGTGCCCGGCAGTGGGGTAGGAGATACCTGTTAATAACTATGAAGCAGAGCAGGCAGGGACTTTAAGCCTTTTTCATAGGTGTTTGTTTCTACCGAGCTGTATTTAACTCTTGAATGCCTTACTGTGCTGTTGGATGACTCAACAGGCTATATTTAATCTGTTTAGCTATTGTTATAAACAATTTTTTAAGAATAAGGGACACTTAACAGAAGGCTGCAGTGAAGGTGGTTGAAAACCGCTTAAACTAGTCCTCTCCTATAGCTGAAAATGATTAAACCAAGAGAGAAAAGTGACTTAAGATTTATTCCAACCGCAGTACAGTAGTAATATATAGTGTTTTGAAATTGCACAAGTATTTTGTATTTGGAGTGCCTGAAACTGGATGCAGCATTTACACCTAGGAGTAAGCCAGTTAATAGGCAAAACATTATACATGAGAAATAACAGTCCAATGTCCCAAGGTTAATGGCTTGTGAGCATTTGGCTCTCGAGATTGCATCAGCGTGAACAGTTTGCCAACATTTGACAAATTCCACGTGGGGTTGTAAAAAGCAATTGGCACTTCTAGTTTAGACCTTAAATGCTAAGCTTTCTGTTGTAATTTGCAATAACATAATAGTGTTGAGACCTGTAAGTTCCGCATCACATCTTAAAGCGAGTTTAGGTACAAATGAGGAAGTAAATGCTGCAACACAAAAATAGCCCAATCCCTCACACCCGTTTAAAAAACACACTACAATCAACCAAGCGATAGGCACTTCTGTCTTGCAGTACAATATTTGACAAGTGATGGATGATGAAAGAGTTAAAGATCACAACGATTTTAAACCCCAGCCTTACCAAGTGGGTGAAGGTTAAATCAGTCTTTCCCAGCTTCCTGACTCATCACTCACCCTTCCACACAGACATCCTTTAATGTTAAAAGCTACTATAAAACATACTTATCTAGTGAAGCACGGGATTGTTGTTGATGGCTCCCCTTTCCCATACCCCCTCTGTGGCTCTTGAGGAAAAGCTTTGTATTGTTGTTGTTTACATTTCAGTATAAAAATACACATTATTAAAAGTAACTTCTGTCATGAAGGTGTCTTCCAAGCAAGGTGAGAGCAGGAGCACTCGCTCCCAGGCTGTTGGGTGCAGCGGGGAGGTACCGCTAAAGATCTTGCAGACTTCAGGCCCAGAAGCCCACGTGCAGACTAACCTGACAAGCTGTAAGAGTCAAATCCTCCCAAGAGATTTTTTTTAATTAAAAACAGGAGACTGGCTTAGTCTGTTGGAACAGTTGGATCCCTCAGATGTGTCCTTCTGCTTAGGAAGACAAACACCCTAGAGTTACCACACAGCTTCATTTAGCCCCCTTAGTTAGAAGAATATAAAGTTTCTTTTACAATTTCTTTTTACCTAAAGAAGCAGAGGAGCAAGCAGTTACTTCCTCCCCCATCCTTCATCACTAAATAGTGACAGATTTCCCTGATCTCATCATGACTTTACATTACTGTAGCCAGAGATGTGATAGGAAGCCACAGCTCAGACATGAACTACAATCACGACCTTCTGTCCCTGAATAGCTGATGCTCCTCTGTAGAAGCCACAACATCATCAATCTGCTGTGAAGGAGAGGAATCTTTCCACCATACCAGTTTCTTACTGGTATTCACCCCTGCACACACTATCACAGTCCTGAACACACCACACATCCCATCATTTCACTACCCCGTGAATAAGACCACGTACATGGCAGGGAATACAACTGCTGAAATAATTCCTTGTTCTCCTTTGCTCTAGTCTAGTTTTTGTGGAAAGAGGAGTTAAATACTTCGTAATACAGCGCTTTGAAGAATAAAGCAGCAGAGGCAGTATCCAGTGCTATAGATGCGTCATCAGAAATTCTCTATAGGTTAAAAGAAAAATAAAGGGGGGCAACATTTGGATACCAGCCAGTTCAGAGATGAACAGTGGGATGTTAAGTTAAAAAAACAAAATTAAAAAGCTCACACAGGTCATCCTGGTATTTTCACCGTACTCCCTGCAACAGTAAAAAAGCTTTAGTGCAAATACACAGGTTTCCGAAAGCTCTGAAAGTGCTTTGGAGACCTGATGGGTGATCACCCCTTGGCTTTTGTATCTCTCAACACAAAGTCTTCATGTATATCCAGCTTGGCTTGTACAGTCTTGCAGCCTTTATCAGAGTAGATTTTCTGCTCTTTGGGGAAGAACGTCATCTCATCAGCCACCGCTTGAACGATGTTCTCATCGACGACGTAGCCACGGGCTGTCATTTCAGCCCTGACACACATCTTCACGTGCTTGTGCTCCAGGGGCAGGAAGGGGACAAAGTAGTCAATGAGGTTCCTGTCGATGAGGCTGCTGTGCCACAGTCCACCTGGAGGAGTCAGGAGAAAGGGGAAAAACAGGGCAGGGTCACGAGATGAAACCTGTGTTATGAAGTAAAAGGAACTTCCCATTTTCTGGGGAAAGTGACTTACTGTTCTTGTTATTGAAGACTCCAACAGACAGCAGGGGCTCCAGGTCTTTCAGCTGAATCTCCTCCCTGCGCTTTCCACTTGTCCAGAAGTCAAGAGCTGCTTTATTAATTAAGTCACCACCTGCATTGCTATTCATAGAAGAAAAATAAGCAGTGATGAATACAGACACAACCAGAATATTTTTTTTATAAAGACACACATATTGCTAATGTTTGACATCAAACAAATCACCAAAACAGTCAAAAATTTAGGGAAAGTCTCTAGTTCTTTAAATAGCCATCAGCATGTGGTGGGTTGACCGTGGCCAGCAGCCCACGCACCTACACAGCCCCTTGCTCACTCCCTCCCACCTCAGCGGGATGGAAGGAGAAAATAGGAAGGACAGAAGTGAGAAGACTTGTGGGTTGAGATAAAGACAGTTTAATAGGTAACGAAAAGAGGAGCAAAACAACCCCAAGGAAGGCTAAAGAAATCACTCTCAACCCCCACAGTCAGACCAATGCCCAGGTAGCCTCCAAAAAGCCATCAGCTGGAAAGTTGATCCCCCCTGCTCTTCTTTCTCTACCCCAGTTTTTATTGCTGAGCATGACATTACATGGTATTGAATATAAATATTCCCCTGGCCCGTTTGGGTCAGCTGTCCCCTTCTCTTGCCCGCCCCAACCTACTTGCTGGGAGCTGCATGGGAAAAAGAGAAGGCCTTGAGGCTTTGCAAGCACCACGGAGCAACAACCACAACATCAGTGCCTTATCAACACTGTTTTTGGCCTCAAATCCAAGACACAGCACTAAACTGGCTGCTATGAAAACAGTTAACTCCATCCCAGCCAGACCCATGGTGCAGCCATCGCAGAGAGCTTCCACAGAACGTGAGCTCCCATAGGATCCGTGCTCTGGGCCAGGCCCATGAGCTCAGTTGGGGTCTGCTGCCCCACATCAGACCTGCTCGACCACAGCCACAGGCCACTTGAGAGCCCAGAACGCTCCCCTCTGTCTCTACAGAGGGGGTCTTCACTCCAGAGCAGTTCTTTTGCTGTTCTTTGAGTGAGGTCCCACAGAAACATTATCATTACACACACAGATTTATCTTGGTATCTCAAAATGACCAAAATAGGGGCTACAGACCTGAGGAAGATGAAGATGGCTTTCCTGTAGGACACCCTATCAACCTGCTCGTAATAGTCTAAGAACGGCTTGATGGCATCGATGAGACCTGGATGCATTTTGTCCATCTCATCAAAAATGAAGACAGAGTGGGGACAGGCACTGACGTTGCCCCGAATCCAGTTCTGGAGCTGTTCCTGGAACAAGAGGTTGAAAAACACTGAAAAAGTAGGTCTCTTGGGGAAGTACTGCAGAATATTTGTATGTGACAGCCTCCAGGGACACCCTTTCAAGTGTCAGCATCACACACTCAGTGGTTACACTTTTTCCTGAAGAGAGGACCATAAACTCTGTGATTGATCCCTTCACCACATGACACTGAATTTAAAGGTGAATTCTTTCCCTGCTCACAGATAAGAGAATTTCTCATTCTTCCTGCTCCATTTATGGATAAGGCATGAAAACCAGGCAGAGATGGGAAATCTTGAAAGAGAGAAAGCTGCTTTTTTGTTTAAGAAAATCAGTGCTTCATTTTTTTTATACAGAAACGGCATCCCATCTATTTTGGGTACCTTCAAGCATGAAGATCAGAAATCTAATGTCTGGGAATGAAGTCCCTTGGAAAATCTCTCACGTGGGCTACACTTTCTCATTGCATAGTGCGTGGGGGTTGACCCGGCAGCAGCCAAGCACCCCAGCAGGAAGGGAGAGAGAGGGGGAAGAATAAAAGCAAGAAAACTCACAGATATTTTGATAGGTGATGGCAAGAGGGAAAAAAAACCAAGCAAAGGGAATCACACACACCCCGCCAACACCTGCAGACACATGCCCAACCAGTGTTAGAACACCTTGGAAGCCAAACCCCCCCATTCTTCCTTCTTTTACCCCAATTTTTATTACTGAGCATGACAGCACATGGTATGGAATATTCCTGTAGCCGACTGGGCTCAGCTGTCCCAGCTGTGTCCCCTCCCAATCTTTTGCCCACCCCAGCCTGCTCCCTATGAGTAGGGGGGAAAAAAAAGAAAAAAGCAAGTTTTGAGGGTGTGCAAGCAGTAGTGTTCAGTAACCACCAAAACACCGGTGTGTTATCAATGCTGCTTTGGCTACAAATTCAAAACACGGCGCCGCAGGAGCCGCTGCGGAGAAAGTGCCTCCCTCCCTCCCAGCCAACCAGTAGGCGCCGTTTGAATGATGGGATTCTCTCCGAGCAGTAAGCAGGGCAGGAATCAGCAGATGGCATCCGTGAGAGGACAGCACGAGGAAATTACTCTCACTTTACATTTCTTGGCATTTTGGTGCCTTTCTCTTTCGTTTTCTGAATGCGTTCCCTCCTCCCTCTCTCCCAAGTACCAGCTTTGGAAACACCCAGCTGTACACCTCCAGTTGTTGGGTATCTGGGGGACTTGTGCTGCACCAACAGCCAAACCCCTGTAATAAGGGGGTTTAGGGACTCGGGGTAACGGGATTACCTTGTGTCCTTCCTCACCTTGTAGAGCTTGACTTGTTCTTGGTGGGGGAAGTGGAGGGTGGCCAGGAAGAGATGGACAAATTTGCTGCGCAGGCCGGCCGGGTGGACCTGCTCCGCCAAGATCTGGCTGAGGAAGTTCTTGCCGGTGCCGGCCCAGCCGTGGAGCGAGAGCGTCAGCGGCTTCTTGGGGCTGGGGTTGTTGGTGAAGCCCATCACCGCCCTCAGCACCACATCCTTGGCCAGGTGCTGCCCGAAGAGCTTGGCATCCAGCTGTGCCTTCAGCGCTGGGGGGAGAGGGAGAGCTCAGCATTGTGTGGCCACCCATGGGTGCTGGTCACCAGCCATGCACCAAGCAAGCTTTACATGGCCACCCATGGGTGCCGGTCACCAGCCACACACCAAGCAAGCTTTGCATGGCCACCCATGGGTGCTGGTCACCAGCCATGCACCAAGCAAGCTTTACATGGCCACCCATGGGTGCCGGTCACCAGCCACACACCAAGCAAGCTTTGCATGGCCACCCATGGGTGATGGTCACCGGCCACCCACCAGACAAGCCTGGCATGGCCACCCATGGGTGCTGGTCACCAGCCACGCATCAAGCAAGCTTTGCATGGCCACCGATGGGTGCCGGTCACCAGCCACACACCAAGCAAGCTTTGCACGGCCACCAATGGGTGTTGGTCACCAGCCACACACCAGGTGAGCTCGGCATGGCCACCCATGGGTGGTGGTCACCGGCCACCCACCAGACAAGCCTGACATGGCCACCCATGGGTGCTGGTCACCAGCCATGCACAGGTTGAGCTCGGCATGGCCCCTGCCGGGCACGGGTCTCAGCATGGCACGGCCACCACCAGGCACACCGGGGGCTGCCCCGGGCAGTGACCAGTTACCGGTGGAGCTCCGTGCCAGGGCTGGGGACCCAGCGCGGCCCGCCACCCCCCGTCCCCGCCGTACCGGTGGCGTTGATGCGGTGCCCGTCGCTGGGGCAGCACTCCACGTAGCTGCAGTAGAAGTTGGGGTGGGACAGGTAGCCGGTGATGGCCCAGGCCACGCCGATGGCCAGGCTGACGCTGAGCGGCTCCAGCGCCGCCAGCCCCGGCAGCAGCAGCCAGAGCAGCCCGGCCGCCCGCAGCATGGCGACCCCGCGCCCGCTCCCGATCCCGGTCCCGCTTCCGCCTGCCGGGCAAACGGCCGCCCCGCCCGTAGCCGCAGCCGCCATCTTTGTGAAGGGCAAGGGCGGCCTTTCCCTGCCCGGCTGGTGACGTTAGCGGGCCGTGTGAGGGCGGCCTCGCCACCGCCGCCGCCTCAGGCCCTCGCTCCCCTCAGGGAAAGCTGGGCCCCGTTCCTGCCCTCACCCCTCCGAGGGGACCCATCTTCTGTCCCCGTCCCTCCCCTCGATGCCACCGGCTCTCCCTACAAGACCCCGGCGCAAATGGCATCCCGAGCTGCAGGCGGGAGCCTCTTACCCCTCTTTCCCCGCTGCGGGCGGGAGCGTGCCACCATGGCTGGGTGCATAGAATCATAGAATCATAGAATCGTCTACAAAAAAAACCCAAAAACCAAAAAACAAACCCCGCTGCAGGCGGGAGCCTCTTACCCCTCTTTCCCCGCTGCGGGCGGGAGCGTGCCACCATGGCTGGGTGCATAGAATCATAGAATCATAGAATCGTCTAGGTTGGAAGGGACCTTAAAGATCATCTAGTCCAACCATCAACCTAACTCTGACAAAAAAAACCCAAAAAACAAACTCCACACACCACTAAACCATATTCCTGAGGACCATGTCAACGCGTCTTTTGAACACCTCCAGGGATGGTGCCTCAACCACTTCCCTGGGCAGCCCATTCCAATGCTTAATAACTCTTTCAGTGTAAAAATGTTTCCTAATATCCAACCTGAACCTCCCCTGGCACAGCTTGAGGCTGTTTCCTCTTGTCCTATTGCCTGTAACTTGGGAGATGAGACCGAACCCCACCTCTCTACCCCCCCCCTTCAGGTGTCAGGGGACAGCCAGTATAAAACAGACTGATATTATTACTGAGAATATTATTTATTAATAGGTTTTATTAATTAGGGCAAACAAGGTGCAAACACTCTTGCCACAGAAGTGGGAGACTTTCCTCTTTAAAATACTTTGTTTGGGAATGTTTGTGGCAAGGAGAGCAAACCTTATCACCCACCTATGTCCCTCTTCTGTGAACTCTCGTGATTGTTGTGGTGTGCTGTGTATTTATTTATTCAAGAGTTCTACAGATGGTGCCTCTGGTGGGGGACAGCCTGAATCCCAACAAGGAGTAGTGTGTAGAGTGAGCTCCTGGGAGGGAAAGGGGAGGTATTGGTGCTTCCATTTGCTGTGGTCTTGTAACAAGATGAGGCATTTGGCCTTGTAGTGCCTTAGGTGCTCAGAGTCACTCTGGACTCTACAGTCTTGCAGCCTTTGCTGGAGTAGAGTCTCTCTTCACTGGGGTAGTCAGTCATTGCCAAGGCAATCTCCGCAATGAGGTCTTCATTCTCGGGATGCCCTTGCACGCGCAGCTCCTGCCGGACACACTCTCTCACGTGCTTATATTCCAGGGGAAGGAAAGGGATGAAATAGTCAATCAGGTTCTTCTGGATCAGTTGACTGTGAAAGAAGCCACCTGCAAGAGAGAATGGGAGCTTTACCATCAGAGTGCTGTGGAGGCCAGTGTTTAGGTGCACCCTTCATGGATCATTTTGCAGAAGACATCAGCATTCCTGGGACTGAGCCCTGAGCCCAGAGGTACTCACTGTTTTTGTTCCTGAAAATTTCCTCTGAGAGCAGAGACTGAAGCTTCTTCACAGGAATGTCTTCTCTTCTCTTCAGACTTCTCCAGTAATCGAGGGCAATCTCTGTTACCTTATCTCCACCAGCATTGCTGTTAGGAAAGAGATTCACTGGCTCATTAGAGCTGTATCTTCACCATCTTTATTGCTCAGATCTCAGCAGTGGTTTAGGTCACTCTGTGTGAATCTGCACTGGAGTGGAGGTGACATGTCCCTACATGTGGGTGTTGCCCAGAGATGGAAAGTGATAAGGACAACACTACCTCCCAAATGACAGCAGTGTCTGATGGGATGAGCTCTCCTTTGGCATGAACTACTGTGTTTGTCATTTAAGCATAGCAGGGGATTGCCAGGTGTTAATGAGAGGCTCGCTAACGAGCTGCTACTCATGGTGGTAACTGATGTCTCAAGCTGAAGTAGTTAGCTGGCCATGTGTTTGAATGTAAAGGCAAGTTAAGAGGCAGGGCAACCCAAAGCCTGGGGTTTGGGCTTGTTTCAGTCATGTGCTGTCAGCAGAGCTGGGGTGACACTCAGCAAAGGGATTTCCCAGGAATAACACCTGAAGGAATTCTGCTCCCTTGACCTGTGTATGCAAGTTGTCTTCAGTAGGTGAGTTTTCCCCTCTCTGCCTCTAAAGAGCTATCTAGGGGAGTCCCACCCATCTTACAAAGAACTTCCTGCCTTACAGTAGGATGATAATGCTGGAGAAAACATATTTACTGACCACTGGGGAAGTGGCCTCTCCAGCACTTTTGGAAGCCACTACAGATACTTGTCCATTTCCCATTCACTTGAGGAATGGGAGCCTTTTCAGCAGTTCACTTCTCTTTATAGTGTGAGATGTGACACAGTGGCTGTACATGTTCATTGACAACACATCTGTAAAGACAGACAGCAAGGGACTTTGAGCTGCTCAGCTGCAAACCTGTCAGCAGCAGCTCTTACTCCCTTTGTCCCTGCTGATTCTGTGGGACTGTAATTCCCTTTTGGCTTTTCTTACTTCAGAAAGATGAAGATCGCCTTGCCATAATAAATGCCATCGATCTCTTCGTGGTAGCCGAGGAATGGCATGATAGAGTCTATCAGGCCATGTGGCATCTGATCCATTTCAGAGAAGATAAAAAGGGACCTTGGACAGGCACTGACATTGCCCCGAATCCAATTCTGCAGCTGCTCCTGTGAGAAGAGGCAAAATTACCTGGGAGGTATGCTCCCAGTTGCAGATAAATTGGAGAAAGTGTGGTAAAGCTGGAAGTACCTTATAGAGGTGGACATGTGAAAGGTATGGGAAGTGCAGTACTGTGTTGAAGTGGTGCACAAACCTCCGTCTTGGTATATTAAACTGATAGAGGTTTTCTGCGATGATGCTGCTGACAAACGTTTTGCCTGTTCCAGTCCAGCCATGGAAGGACATCACCAGGGGCTTCCTGGGCCGTTCGGAGTGCATATTTGCACTCAGAGCTCTCAGAACTATCTGGATAGCAAGATGCTGTCCAAAGACTTTTCGATCCAAATCCATCTTTAAAACTGAAGGAATAGAGAGAAAAGAATCAGAAAACTCTGTATGATTACCCCTTCCCCTCCCCCGTTTTTTTTTTTTTTTTGGTTCCAGCTGAATGACAATCAGGGAGAATAAATGCTTACTGCCCTTCGGCCACGGTGAGATTGTGAATCAGCAGAGAATCCAACTGAGGAGCAAAGTCATGAATCAGACTCTTGCTGGCATTTATGGGCAGCAAGCAGTTAGTGTGAGGTAGGCAGGAGTCCCAGCGGATTGTGGCTGCTGCCTCCTATAAAGTCCTGGGGTGAGATCAAATGTATTTGCAGAGGCTTGTCCATTGCATGTGCTAAATTCTCGTTAACTGTTTTTGTGGCACCTAGCATACCTTGCATTTATAGAAAAATGCGCTTCTGTTGCTGCAGGAAGTTCTCTTAAAAAGTACCACAACTGGTGTTTCAGTGGCTAAAGTCCTAGCAGACAGCCTGGCTGTGAGCAGCAGCTCCAGAGCTGGTAGGAAGCGACATACTGAAGTACCTGGGGGCACGCAGGTCTCCAACAGTTGAGGATTTATTTTGGAATCTGTGGCCCAGCACTGAAATGAAGCAATGCTTGTCATCCCATGACAAAGGGAAGGGGGATTTCCAGGTGGCAGGATCAGGAGTTTATGGTTAAAAGATTTATGGTTAAAAAGCTCTTTTTCAGACTATGCACTAATTCCCCGCAGGCCAGGGTGAAACAACCCTTTCTTCCCCAGTTGCTGAGGACTGCCAGCCTGCTTGTCTCGGGGAAGCGAAGCAGCATGCTTTTAATCTAGACTTACCACTAATTGCTACTCATTTGACATATATTACAGGCAACCACTGTCTGGGGTGTGGGATACCACTGGGGTGTCCGTCTCAAGAAGATGTGGGTTTATTTCTTTAGCTCTTAGCCTTGAATTCACCTCCAGAATTTTGCCTCCTCCTGCCAATATAAACCAAGACACCAGCAAGGGAAATGCTCTGGTACTGCCATGAGAAGCAGGGTCCCTGACCACTTGTGGGAGAAGCAATATGCAGTTAGTACAGCTTTTGCCTTCTAAAGCCACGGTGGGTGGTAACTTCTACCTTTCTGCAACCACCCCGAAAGTGGCTGGCACGAAAAAGGAAGCCTCACCACCCTGGGAAGGACCATCAGCTGGTCTCACGGACAACTTGGCTCAGGGTGCCCTTGCCACTGCCTTACCTGATAAGTTCAGCGTGTCCCTCATATTGCAGCACTCCAGGAAACGGCACTTAAGCCAGGACTGAGGGGAGAGGAGCTGCCAAGCGACAGCAGCACCACCCGTGAGGATTGAGGCGCTGAAAGGGTCCAAAGCTGGCGTCAAAGTGGGCACAAAAATAAAGAATGCAGCAGCATTCGTAAGCTTCATGGTGGCTGGCTCAGCAGGAAAAGAAAGCAAAACGGAAAGCAAAACAGAGATTGCAGAATAACTTCCTGAAGTGTGGGGCCTGAGGCTATGCGAGAGGATGGAAGCCAAGACTCCTGTAAGCTGGAGGTGTTAATGAGTTAACAGACTTATCACGCTGCTCCTTGAGAACTCAAAGTGTTGGAAGCAGGGTGTCTCTGCAAGGGTAGAGTGAGAGTTTCATCAGAACAATCCCAGCTCCGAGGGGAGCAGGACTGGAACCTCACTGCATCTTAAGGTGCTAATTGGTCTGGTGATTAACCAAGAACATAGCAATTCTTGGTTTGGGCTCAGTTCAGAGTGGGTTGTGCACCTGGCATTGCAGAGCCCAAGGATTTCTGTAGCAGTGGCTGGAGCTCTGCGACTCGCAGGACTGAACGTGCCAGGAAGCTGCTTTAATAAAACCAAGTTCTCAGCACAGATACTTTGTCCAAACAACTCCGTGAAGTGTGTTTGCAAAGGGGAAGGACAGACACTGAAACAGCTTCCGTTTTCTCAGCAAATACTTTTTTTTTGAAAAGGTGAAAAAGATGTGAAAAGCACTTTCAAGTAATTCTCATTTTATTTTTAAAATCTCATGGGAAAAACACTGAGCAGCATCATTTATTATTCAAAATACATGCTCAAGATTTGGCGTCTCACTTGAAACAAGTGCCCGGTGCTGCCAAACGCCGAGCAGCCGGGAAGCCCCGTTGTTCCCTATTTTGAGAGTCCTCGCTGTCAGCTGCCATTGAGTCTTGAGGTGGGCACAGCTTAGACTCTCACCTTGTTATTTCTGGGTAGTTTGCCCAGATAACTCACTTACAGAGGGGTGTCCTCAAAGCCCCAAGGTTTGGGCTGCCGAGGAGTTAACTCCTGTGGAGCAGGGCTTTCCGCCTGCAGTCTCTCCATCAGGAGACCCGGAGGCTGCACAGAGGCCAGAGGAAGGCATTGGCAGTGGCACTGCAGGTTTACCTGTTGCCTGCACTCTGTCAGAGCTCTCTTCAAGTCTTTTGTACAAAGGTGGTTTAATATCGCTGAAAAAATGCTGGGAATTTTGCAGGCAACTGCTGGTTCCTTGATGCAGCAGGTCTCTGCGTTTGGCCGTGCTGAACGCTAGATGGGGTGTCAGACAAAGGTTTTAGGCCAGGATTTGCAGGATAGAACAACTATTGCAGAAAACCAAGTCGTGCCTGAGACAAACAGAAGAGAGAGTACACATCTGCAGAGTTGACCGCTTGTGTTACGGAACGTGATTTCTTGGGACAGCACACAACCCGGCTGCTCAGCCTTCACAGAGGGCGAGAACTTCACAGGCAAGTTCAGCAGGAGACTGAGAACAGCCAGAGTCATCTTATAAAGGAAGATGGGGAGTTTGAGAAAAGAAATGAGGCTGTTTAACTGTGATCTGTAGATTTTCTTGGTTGTACGTCAGAATTAAAGGTGAAAGCAGGTCGCGTTGCCCACCTCACAGGTTTCAGCAGATATTTCACCATTCCTCTGTAGAAACGGAGTGTGGTCTCACAAACACTGAAATGGATTGTCACCCCTGAAATGGATTGTCACCCCTGGGTCTCTCTGGAATAAAATGTAGTGCCAAATTGTGTCATACAAAAGGTGAATCAGTTTCATAGTTTATGGTCCATGCTTTCAAATCCAGCTGGCACAGATTCTCTTCTGACTGATGTGTGAAAGGGGTGAGGAGATGTCCTTATTAAGTTTTTCATTGTGGTCTTGTGTCATTTCTCAAGGTCTCACCAGCCTGGAATTGACTACATCTCCCAAAATGCAAATAGGAAATGCAAAGTGATGTGCTAGAAACAACACAGAGAAGGAGAATTACCTCATCTACGCAAAAAGAAGGAGTAGCACAGGACACATCTATAGATCTTCTCCTTTCCATGTGGGAGGGAGGTGGCATATATTTCCTATACAACAATAGGATGTATGCTGCATAACAGGTACCAGATGGGTGTTTAAATAACCTTCAGCTGCAACATGTCATGCTGTTATCTCATTATCCCTTACAAGTTAAATGGGTTCAAGCTGGGCCCGGACATGGATGAGATGTCTAATAGCGGTGGTGGGGCTGACATTGATGGCAATTTCCTTGAACAGCTGTCTGGAAGCTCCAAGTGGAGCACAGACCCTGCAACACACACTCCGCAGTGCAACGTCTTGTCGCCTGTTGTGTTGTGCTGATGAACATGTTGTTCTTCTGTCTCAATGCCCTCCTGAGCCCTGGGCACAGAATTGGCATCCTGTCATGTATTCACACTGGCCCCCCGGCCAGCAGAGGGGATGGTGGTGGTCACCCACCAGTGGGTCATCACAAATCGGTTGCCACGAGCTGAAAGTACTGAAAAATTGTAGCTGAGAAGAACTTTCAAAAAGCGATAGTTTGGGATATCTGTGATTTGTGGTGTTGATTAGTGGTGGGAAGGTGAGGGTGTGGGAGAGGTTAAGGATGTCGGGGGATTACAGGGAGAGGAAAGGTAGGGATTTGGGGAGCAGTGGTATGAGCTGGGGGATATGGGGTGTTTGAAGTGAGTAATTTGGTGTGCTAAAACTATTGTGATAGGGGAGGTAGTGGAGATGGGGTGGGTGTGTTCAAAGGGAGAGATAAGGGATGCAGACGTGGAGTACTTAAGGCCAAGGGTGAGGAGAGAAGAAAGTCCCAAAGGAGAGCTTTGCCTGGCCTTACTCTGCTTTCAGTGTGTTGAAATTTTCTCTCATCCACTCACAGTTTGATTTGTGCATTGTTGGTTTAAAGTCAGCATTCTTAAGACTTTGGGCTCGCAGCTCCATGGCAGGGAGCCTAGAGAATTTGGGATATGGATGGTTAGCGTGGCTTTCTGATCACGAGGCAGCATACCTCGCAGATGGCTGGAGAGCCAAGAAACATAATGTCTCCAGCCAGGGGACAGAGTGCTAGGAATCAGTGTTGCAGCCCTGCCTTGAGTTCATGGAGTGCAAGAGGTTTCCAGGTAAGAATTGTCGGGTCAATGAATGAATGCTTTTCCCAGAAAAAGTCTGTATTTTTGTTGGAGAATGTATAAGGTCCTCAGTATTTCCAAGAGTTTTAGGAAAGAGGTTTGGTAATGTGACTGTTATTTCACACGAGGTGCTGGGCTGAGTTTCTCGCTGAATTTGACAAGAAGAAGTGAGAGACTATTTTCCCTATGTTCAGTTTAATTGCTACCTGAACGTATCTCAGTCCACATCTTCTCTTTTGTCCCTGCCTTCTGACTCTGGCTAGACGTTCTCTAATGCTCCGTGGTTTGGGTTTGTTTTCTTTCCCCACTTCAAATTCAGCATCATCTTCCAAGTGCTCCTTTTCCTAAAAATAGAGAGGAGGAAGTGACAGGAAAGGGCTGCCACTCTTGACGTACATTGGGATCTTTTAAGGGGGGGATTGTGGTGGGCTTTATCCAAATACAGAGCCTGGCTAAGCTCTGAGGACGACGCTAATGCTGCGGAAACGTTCTGACTCACTCGAATGTGTTCATTGACCTTTCTATAATGTGACAGTAGCAATAACACAAGACACCAAAATTGACATTAATGTTGAGCAAACATTGTCTAATCCTAGCAACACCCAGGGAGTCAAGAGACTCTGTCATCCTCCTCTTGCAGGTAGGAAAACTGAGGTCTGCAGATGATGAAAGTTCTTCCTAACGTGGCATTTCATAGCAAAGGGTTTAGCAATTCTGCCTTTGAAATCTTTACTCAAGAGCTTGAGCCATGATTTGCCTTGGGCCGGCTTGAAATCCTTGTCTGTGGTAGAGAAGTGGAGTCCCTTGGGTCAGTGTGTCTGCTGAGCTGTGTGAAGAGGGACAGTCCAGCAAGGAAAGGCATGGATGAGCTTGGGATTTGAGTGAGGTGGGACACCATACACATGTCCAAATAAATCTGCCCAGGTGAAATAACTCATTTGATCATGTCTGAACTCTTGTAAAAATTCTGATGTACTAGTAGGGATTTTTTTTTTTTGTCTGGATGCTGTCTCTACAAAATGCAGTCAAGAGGTTCTTCCTTACAACAAGAGAAAAGGATTTCCCATCTGGATGCCCAACAGTAAAGCCCGTTTTCCTGAGCCTGAATTGTGGCCAGAGACCAGTCTGATTGTGCTGTACAAGCAGAATAACCAGCCCCAGGGGCCTTACAGTGTGTGGATGCAATGGTGGTCCAGATCAGAGCTTCACCTGGTCTACAGTGGTACAGCCCCTACCCAGAGCAATGTACAGCATCTGAGGATCAAGCAAGGTTTAGCAGTGCTGCTAGTGACCTTTGTCCAGGGTGAAAGCTGAAAATCTCTGCAGAGGGAGATAAACTTGATATTTAATCTGGTATTGAGTGGTTTTCAGCAGGTGGAGCTACACAGGTCGTGTTACCTGGGAGGGCTAGGAGTGAGAGGAGGGGTGAGGAGGTATTTAAGGCCATGCTTGATCTACAGTATCAATGTGGGTGAGGGAAGCAGCCGTCTCGCATTTCTTGCCTCCCGTGGGAACTTCCTTGAAAGGTAATGTTTTATAGATAGAAGTGTAAGGTGACAAGCTGGAAGGGCATTTCTTTGCTCTTTATGTGGTGAAACCTGGTGCTGAAACCTGTTTGATCTTTCATACCAACTCCATCAAGCAATGATGGATTCTCAGAAGAAGCACAGGGAATTACTTAAGTGCCTTGCAGCCAGACTGGCTCTGTGCCTCCATGGACCACTGTGTGCTCCAGAGGGAGAAGGGGTGGAGAGAGACAGCTCTTGGCCTTTGGGAAAAGCGAGAGGTTTCTGTTCATCTGAACAGGAGATCCCAGGACTGCGGTAGTGACAGGCTTTGAGGAGAACAGAGCTTTTTAGTCTGTAGCTGGGTGATACAGCAGCTCAGGATCTCATGGTACCACCCAAAGCCAGGTGCAAATCATCATCAGCAGCAGCCACCTATGGACCATGCAAATCCACCTGGGCTGGCAGCTGAGAGAGGCAGCCT